TAACTTTTTTGTTAAAAGTCGTGTCCAAAATCGGTAAACAGTATTATATACATCTATTTAATGCAGATCTTATTCAATTAAAATAAAATTATAAAAAATTTAAAGTCATGGAAATTACGGGACAAACTCAAAGGTCATAGGCACAGGTCAGACCATAGGTCATAAGTCAAAATAGTTTAATGCATCTGAAAGAGCAATAAATAAACTTTCATTTAAGTTGTTCACAAAAATCCAATTGTTTATAGAGCCAGGGTGATATAAAATGTGACATAGGATGTCCCATACTAATGACCAAAAAATTGGAAATTCATTGTTATTAGTAGTTTAAAGTAGCTTAATATATGCAAAATATTGTGCTGATTATAAATATGAAAGAATTTTTTAAAAAATTCCTTTTAATTCTAAATTTATTCAATATTTAATAAAAATTTTAATTTAGCGTGACCAGGTCACTATATTTATAAGAGGACTACATATTTATATATAGTATTTTATACGTGAAGGTAAATTCTGAATTCCAACCAAAGAATGAGCAGCATTTATACCATTTATGAGTTTTAGCAGTTGTATTTTTTAATTCATCTGTATCATCAAACCTCTGACCTCTTAATGGACTTTTAATTCGATTAAAAACATCGAAATCAAGTGGGTCAAAATCAGGTGAATATGGTGGATGATCTAATATTAACCAGTTCTTTTGTCTTAGAAATTGTTGGACAATTCTTGAAATATGTGGTCGTGCATTATCAATAATGAGTGTTGGTTGTGTAACACCTCTGCATAACAAAGCAGGTTTAAGAATATCTTTCAAAAATAGCATGAAATTAGCTCCAGTCCATTTAGATAAAATTTTATTAAAAATATTTATATTAACATTTTACTTCGAAAACAACTATTCATTAAATTATGTATAAAATATAGTAAACATTTAATATATTTTAACAAAAATATGTTATTCAGTTTATTATTATATAAATATTTATAATTAATTCAAAAATATGCAGTTTAAACGTTTTAGCTTATCACCCTGGCTCTATAAACAATTGGATTTTTGTGAACAACAACTTAAATGAAAGTTAATTTATTGCTCTTTCAGATGCATTAAATTATTTTGACCTATGACCTATGGTCTGACCTGTGTCTATGACCTTTGCGTTTGTCCCGTAATTTCCATGACTTTAAATTTTTTATAATTTTATTTTAATTGAATAAGATCTGCATTAAATAGATGTATATAATACTGTTTACCGATTTTGGACACGACTTTTAACAAAAAAATTATTAAAGTTTTGCCAAACTTATTTTCACGTGTACTACCTTATATTTTATTATAAATGTTTATAGAAAACAATTAAAAGTATTTAATAAACTATTTTCTGACTAAAAACTAAATAAGTTATTGATTGACACACTTTCGCAATCTATAAGTGAACTACAAATTTGACATTTAATTTGATATTACTTTTAAAAGTTATAAATTATAATAAAAATATGTCTTGAATTTGTCACGTCTTGACATATAAATTACATTTTCAGATAATATCTCATAAAATCAAGTTTTATTTATTTCCCAAAATTATTTGATATTACTTTTAAAAGTTATAAATTATAATAAAAATATTTCTTGAATTTGTCACGTCTTGACATATAAATTACATTTTCAGATAATATCTCATAAAATCAAGTTTTATTTATTTCCCAAAATGTTTTCCACAAACAAAAACCTTTAAAAAGTGCGAAACAAGTCATTTGACTATTAAATAAAAACCTCATAAAACACATGAAATAAACTGACAATCTATTGATTAGTTTGACATAAGATAATAGCGATAATGAATGGCAACACCTCTTCATCTCTCAATTGTATAAAAACCAAAACATTTAAAAATGAGACAAAATTTACAAATTCTTGAGGAATATTTGATATTACTTTTAAAAGTTATAAATTATAATAAAAATATGTCTTGAATTTGTCACGTCTTGACATATAAATTACATTTTCAGATAATATCTCATAAAATCAAGTTTTATTTATTTCCCAAAATTTTATCCACAAACAAAAACCTTTAAAAAGTGCGAAACAAGTCGTTTGACTATTAAATAAAAACCACATAAAACACATGAAATCATCTGACAATCTATTGATTAGTTTGACATAAGATAATAGCGATAATGAATGGCAACACCTCTTCATCTCTCAATTGTATAAAAACCAAAACATTTAAAAATGAGACAAAATTTACAAATTCTTGAGGAATTAATTATTAACAAAAAATACAGTAATACTAATTGAAAGGGAATGGCTGTTAGTGTTGGTGAGCCCATACTCCTAATAGATCCGTCGCAGAACTATAGGCCCGACTACAAAGATGTCGAGGAATACCGGATCTATAATAACAATCAGGTCTGTGGTGTGTCTGTAAAGACTGGTATCTAATGTCTAATTAATGATATTTGTCTGAAAAGGACGACGAGATGCAGAAAATGATTTACGAAACCTATCGACAAATGCATAGCAAACAGTCGGTCGACTTCGTGAGGGACCGGATGTCTCATTGGACTCAATTCAATACCATAGAGTTGCCAATCATGGAGGCCTTGGATAAGCTGAACAACTTTGTGGACGAAAGTGATCCGGATATAAGTCTACCCAATTTGGTGCACGCATTTCAGACGGCGGAAGGCATACGCAAAGCGCACCCGGATTTGGATTGGTTTCACTTGACGGGTCTGATCCACGACTTGGGAAAAGTTATGGCCATTTATGGTGAGCCCCAGTGGGCAGTGGTGGGCGACACCTTTCCCGTCGGGTGCGCCTACGGAGACAGTA